TTGTTGCTGTTTTTTTAAGATTTTTGAAGATTAGCAAGTTCAATAGAGTCACCACAACTGTAAAGAAATAAAAAAATAATGTGTAAAGAGAGAGGGAGAGTGAAAATGTAACATCATTAAGATAAACTTTAAAAAATCGTTAGTAATGTAATACAAAGCTAATAAACGAATGACAATGATTCATATAATCAATAAATAAATGATTGTTGATTGCTGATTGTAATCAATAATAATTATTGTAACACCTTTTGTTGTTGTTTTACATTGTTTGTAAAACTATAAAATTTGAGTAAATCAACCATTAAAGGAGATCGATACTATTTTATAATTAGGTAACAATTATTATTGCTTTTTGTATGATTATGATCATGATGTTGATAATGATTATTATGATAATGATGTTGTGAAACTGAACTCAATTGCAAATGAATATAAAAACTGTTAATTGTTTTCAAACATTTTAACCTTCAGCTTTGAGGGTTAACTTTTACTCACTTTATACATATCATGGCTGTGGTTTCATTGTCCTTGTTATGTTTGTCCACTGTTGTTAAACTGCTCAATTTATTACCATTATTTTCCTGTGTTGCCAAAGAATTTGTTGTGGGTATTTTACCGCTGCCTCCATTTATATTTAGCAAATGTTTTGGCAACTGATTTGAGGAATCTCCTCGCTGGTATAAAGACGTGTGACGATTGCTTATGGTGGACTGCTGTTAATTTGGTAAAAATGGAATCAAAACTTAGAATTGTCAGAATAGAAATTGTTATCAAAGGATTCAGTTTTTCTAGTTCTGTTCTAGTTCTGTTCTAGTGTTCTAGTTTGTTCATTCTGTTTAGTTCTGTTTAGTTCTGTTCTAGTTCTGTTCTAGTTCTGTTCTAGTTCTGTTCTAGTTCTGTTCTAGTTCTGTTCTAGTTCTGTTCTAGTTCTGTTCTAGTTCTGTTCTAGTTCTGTTCTAGTTCTGTTCTAGTTCTGTTCTAGTTCTGTTCTAGTTCTGTTCTAGTCTGTTCTAGTTCTGTTCTAGTTCTGTTCTGTTCTAGTTCTGTTCTAGTTCTGTCTAGTTCTGTTCTAGTTCTGTTCTAGTTCTGTTCTAGTTCTGTTCTAGTTCTGTTCTAGTTCTGTTCTAGTTTCTGTTCTGTTCTAGTTCTGTTCTAGTTTGTTCTAGTTCGTTCTAGTTCTGTTCTAGTTCTGTTCTAGTTCTGTTCTAGTTCTGTTCTAGTTCTGTTCTAGTTCTGTTCTAGTTCTGTTCTAGTTCTGTTCTAGTTCTGTTCTAGTTCTGTTCTAGTTCTGTTCTGTTCTAGTTCTGTTCTAGTTCTGTTCTAGTTCTGTTCTAGTTCTGTTCTAGTTTGTTCTAGTTCGTTCTAGTTCTGTTCTAGTTCTGTTCTAGTTCTGTTCTAGTTCTGTTCTAGTTCTGTTCTATTTCTGTTCTAGTTCTGTTCTAGTTCTGTTCTAGTTCTGCTATTCTGTTCTAGTTCTGTTCTAGTTCAAGTTCACTTACCGTATGATTATGACTTATCCGTCCCCGTATATTAAATGCCCCATAGACAATGGGATTCATGCATGAATTGGTGCAGGCAAATATAAACAATCCCTTGCGTATCAAAGAACTGACCTCATCCACTGATGATTTGTCTATCCAGTACCACATACAGATGATATAATAAGGAGTCCAGCATATAATGAAAACAATAACAATAGTGATGGTCATTTTTAAAGTTCTCTTTTTGGCACGACTCAAAACATCATCATTGGAACGACGAAAACGTTCTGAAATTAAAAAGAAAAATAAAGAAATGAAAAGAATTTTAACTATTTCACACAAATATCATACACAATCCCCCCAAATATAAAAATGTTCACTTGTCACACCAGAGGAACCTGCACACAAACAATCAAACATTCCCCATACTGAACATTCACAAAAGTGCAGATTCTTCTGGGTGGTTTGGGGTGTAACATGAGGTCTTCACAAAACATAGAAGATAGAAAAATAACTCACCAATGCCTTTAACTATACGCTGACTTTTGCGATAAATTTCCAAGTAGATTGCCCCATAGCAATAGATAAAAGTGATCAATGGACAGGCATACATGGCGCACATGTTGGCAATGTTATAGAATAATTTGTGAAATTCACTGGCAAATGAATGAAATGTTACACACTGATAATAGCCTTTAACTTTCGGATGCTCTTCCAAGTGGAATACATATGCCTGTAAACGATATGAAATGTTTAAGCAAATTAATCCCAAATTTATAGACAAAGTTGGTTGGTTTGTTGCTCTAAGTGAGTGAGAAGAAACACTGACCCAAAACATGCAACCAACCAACTTGTCAATAAAACACACACGCATTTTCCAAAAAAAAACATACCTGTGGCAAACTACACAATATGAAACTACACCAGGCTATGACCAACATTATGCGGTCCACGATTTGTAGAGAGATTCAAAGGTTTAATTATAGCATAATATCTGCAAAAATAAAGTATTAGATGTTTTTAATAAAGTAATGTTTCTCTCTCTCTAACATTGCAAGCATTATGCTTCTGTTGCAAGATCAGCTTTCGTTTTAGCTTACCTGTCAATCGATATGCCTACCAACACGAAACTCGATAGGTATAGACCAAATACTCTAAAGAAACTCATAAGACGACATACGAAATCTGTCGATTTCCATTGCACTGTATAGGCCCACGCAATCTCTAGCGGCAGTCAGTAGAAAAGTCACCATTAGATCGGCTATCGCCAAATGCATTAACATGATGTCAATCCGCGACGGACCACGTAAACGTCGTTTGGTTAATAGATACAACACGGTTGAGTTGCCAATTGCTGAGATCAAAAGAGAAAACTGTAACCAAAAAAATAACAGCATTGAAAATCAAGAAATATTTATTTAGTGTTACAAATAAAAATGTAGACAGGAATAAAATAGATGTAGACATGAGATGAGAGAATGAATGGTTTATTAAGATGTCTAAATGGGATTTATTTGTATTTTTATTATATTGGACAGACGTTTTAGAAATGAACTAGAACTGAACTAGAACTGAACTAAAACAGAACTAAAACCGAACTAGAACTAACTAAACATAACTAGAACTAACTAGAACTAGAACTAGAACTAAACTAGAACTAAACTAGAACTAAACTAGAACTAAACTAGAACTAAACTAGAACTAGAACTGAACTAGAAACTGAACTAGAACTGAACTAGAACTGAACTAAGAACTGAACTAGAACTGAAACTAGAAACTGAACTAGAAACTGAACTAGAACTGAACTAGAACTGAACTAGAACTGAACTAGAACTGAACTAGAACTGAACTAGAACTGAACTAGAACTGAACTATAGAACTGAACTAGAACTGAACTAAAACAGAACTAAAACAGAACTAGAACTAAACTAGAACTAACCTAGAACTAAACTAGAACTGAACTAGAACTAAACTAGAACTAAACTAGAACTAAACTAGAACTAAAACTAGAACTAAACTAGAACTAAACTAGAACTAAAACTAGAACTAAACTAGAACTGAACTAGAACTGAACTAGAACTGAACTAGAACTGAACTAGAACTGAACTAGAAACTGAACTAGAACTGAACTAGAACTGAACTAGAACTGAACTAGAACTGAACTAGAACTGAACTAGAACTGAACTAGAACAGGACTAGAACTGAACTAGAACTAAAACAAACTAGAACTGAACTAACTAGAAAAATAAACTAGAACTAACTAGAACTGAACTAGAACTGAACTAGAACTGAACTAGAACTGAACTAGAACTGAACTAGAACTGAACTAGAACTGAACTAGAACTGAACTAGAACTGAACTAGAACTGAACTAGAACTGAACTAGAACTGAACTAGAACTGAACTAGAACTGAACTAGAACTGAACTAGAACTGAACTAGAACTGAACTAGAACTGAACTAGAACTGAACTAGAACTGAACTAGAACTGAACTAGAACTGAACTAGAACTGAACTAGAACTGAACTAGAACTGAACTAGAACTGAACTAGAACTGAACTAGAACTGAACTAGAACTGAACTAGAACTGAACTAGAACTGAACTAGAACTGAACTAGAACTGAACTAGAACTGAACTAGAACTGAACTAGAACTGAACTAGAACTGAACTAGAACTGAACTAGAACTGAACTAGAACTGAACTAGAACTGAACTAGAACGAAACTGAACTAGAAGAACCTGAACTAGAAACTGAACTAGAACTGAACTAGAACTGAACTAGAACTGAACTAGAACTGAACTAGAACTGAACTAGAAATGAACTAGAACTGAACTAGAACTGAACTAGAACCTGAACTAGAACTGAACTAGAACTGACTAGAACTGAACTAGAACTGAACTAGAACTGAACTAGAACTGAACTAGAACTGAAACTAACTAGAACTAGAACTAACTAGAACTAAACTAGAACCAAACTAGAACTAAACTAGGACTAAACTAGAACTGAACTAGAACTAAATTTAACTAGAACTAGAACTGGACTTCTACGATCTCTTATTATTGTCTTTCCTCTAGACTAACTACAAGTCCATGATCAGTATTCATATACAAGATTTCAAAAGATCTCTTTGTTTTATATACGAAATCCAAAATTCATTGAAAACTCACCTATAAACTGTAATCGATAACGATGACCATCGTTGAATATCATATCCTTTGAATAGTGCATGGTGCCATTTGTATTGTTGTTCACATTTGACCAGTCCGTTAAGACACGATGATCGTAGATTTTCTCATTTATCTCTGATTCTGGCATTTTAATCATGTTTTTTTTTTTATATTTTTATATTATTTTTAAAGTGTTGTGTTTATTTATTATATTGTCGTACGTTGTTGTTGCAGTTTGCAATAAAATATTTTTTATGTTTGTTGTGATTATGTTGAAATGATCAAAAAACAACAACAAACATTAAAAGGAACAAATATGTACTGTATATTTTTTTTTTTATTATTATTATTTATTTTTTAGTAACAACTGATTAAAAAAATCACACAATTTTGAGTTGATCTACAATAAATGAAAAAATTAGTACTCACAAACAATTTGACACAAACACACACATAGACAAAGATAGAGAGAGAGAGCAAGTAATGGGCAGAGATACACAGACAGTAATCAAAACAACAACAATTGCGTTATTTTTTACTAAATTATCACAAACAATCGCTTGATGGTATCAATGATGATCAATGATCGTCTACTAGTTGATCTTACATTGGCAATGTTTTTAAAATGTTTAATTTAACAATTTTAATTGATTTTCGCGGAAATTATATTTTATAATTTTATACAATATGTAATGGATGGAGCTAGCAGCAAATTTATTTTAACACTTGTTGTGGGTATATATATTTTTGCTAATATGTTTATAGGATTTTTTTTTGGTTCTTGTTGTGGTTGTTTTGATTCGAAATATTTTTCAAATATTTATTTACACGCACTTTAATAAAGTTGTGGAAAATATGCCGATGTTTTTTTTTTTTTTTTTTTGCAAAATTTTAGTTTTTGTTTAAATTAATTTAGCCAATTTATTTTTGTTAAAGGAAATGTATAAATAAATATTATGGTTAATGTTTAATTTATAACTGCAAACAAATTTAGTTTGGAATTTATTTGACATCACTAAAACTAGATAAATATTTATTTGTAGTATCGAAAGAAAAAAAATACAAATATATAATTAAAAATAGTAATAAATAGTTCAACTTGAACTTTGTTGTTGTTTTTTTTTTTTAATTTTTCTTAATTAAACATTTGTATAATTGTATATTTTCACTTTTATTAGTTTTAATTTATTTTTATTCTACCTACAAATTTTGATTTCAAATTATAATTATTTTTAATTTAGTTGATTACAATCTCGATTTTCTGGCAGACTTTTTGTTTTTCTTATTTGAAATTAGTACGTATGTATGTATGTGTGTTTGTTTCAATATCTCAAATAATATTGAGTTAAGGTAAATAATATTTAAATTTAATCATTTTGTTATTTTTAGTTTTTCTTTTTAAATTGTATATTTTGCTTTAGTTTCAATTTTTTATTCAAATTCACGTCTTTCAAATTTCACGTTATTCTTTAGACTACCGAGATGAAATTGAAAATTCCATCTAGGAACCTTATATTTGATTATGTGTTGTTATAATTTTTTCATATAATGGCTTTGATTTTTTTTTTCTTTTCAAATCATTAACTGATAAGCCCAGATAGAGAGCCGACAAATCGAACCGAACCACAGATTTGCCGATGATTTTGGCATAGATTTTTTATTTTTCCCGTAGTATCTCTCTTTTTTGCTGATAATAAAGACTTTTGCAAACACCGCCCGCATATTGAAACGTTGCTTATATAGAATACGAATTCAATTTGTTGTTTTTTTTTTTTTGCCCCAAAAGTCTGACTCAAAGTTCAACTGGCCATACGTCTGGAACGTGGAGGGAGGACGGCGGAGTTAGTAGATGCTTTACGCTTAGCTCAGTATTATTGATAATTCACATACACAGAACGTATGATTTAAATTATTCCAGAGACATTTGATATTTATGTAAGTAAGAGTGATCTAGAAAGCGTGAGGCGAATAGTTAGGATCCTTCTTATAATTTGGATTATAGGCTAGACAATAGTTTTAACAACAATATAGTCTAAAATATTGTTTATAGTCTGGGGTATAATGTGGTCTATAGTATAGCTCATAGTCTGATATGTAGTCCAGTCTATAATGTGATATATTGTCTTATCTATATTTCAGTGCATATTATGGATTATGGTCTGGACTAGTTCTAGTTCAGTTCTAGTTCAGTTCTAGTTCAGTACTAGTTCAGTTCTAGTTCAGTTCTAGTTCAGTTCTAGTTCAGTTCTAGTTCAGTTCTAGTTCAGTTCTAGTTCAGTTCTAGTTCAGTTCTAGTTCAGTTCTAGTTCAGTTCTAGTTCAGTTCTAGTTCAGTTCTAGTTCAGTTCTAGTTCAGTTCTAGTTCAGTTCTAGTTCAGTTCTAGTTCAGTTCTAGTTCAGTTCAGTTCTAGTTCAGTTCAGTTCTAGTTCATCTAGTTCAGTTCTAGTTCAGTTCTAGTTCAGTTCTAGTTAGTTCTAGTTCAGTTCTAGTTCAGTTCTAGTTCAGTTCTAGTTCAGTTCTAGTTCAGTTCTAGTTCAGTTCTAGTTCAGTTCTAGTTCAGTTCTAGTTCTAGTTCAGTTCTAGTTCAGTTCTAGTTCAGTTCTAGTTCAGTTCTAGTTCTAGTTCAGTTCTAGTTCATTCTAGTTCAGTTCTAGTTCAGTTCTAGTTCAGTTCTAGTTCATTCTAGTTCAGTTCTAGTTCAGTTCTAGTTCAGTTCTAGTTCAGTTCTAGTTCAGTTCTAGTTCAGTTCTAGTTCAGTTCTAGTTCAGTTCTAGATCAGTTCTAGTTCAGTTCTAGTTCAGTTCTAGTTCAGTTCTAGTTCAGTTCTTGTTCAGTTTCTAGTTCAGTTCTAGTTCAGTTTCTAGTTCAGTTCTAGTTCAGTTCTAGTTCAGTTCTAGTTCAATTTTAGTTCAGTTCTAGTCAATTCTAGTTCAGTTCTCGTTTCAGTTCTAGTCAGTTCTAGTTCAGTTCTAGTTCAGTTCTAGTTCAGTTCGTCAGTTCTTAGTTCAGTTATAGTTCAGTTCTAGTCAGTTCTAGTCTAGTCTAGTTCCTAGTTCAGTTCTAGTTCAGTCTAGGTCAGTTCTAGTTCAGTTCTAGTCAGTTCTAGTTCAGTTCTAGTTCAGTTCTCGTTCAGTTCTAGTTCAGTTCAGTTCAGTTCAGTTCGTAGTTCAGTTCTATGTTCAGTTCTAGTTCAGTTCTAGTTCAGTTCTAGTCAGTTCTAGTTCAGTTCTAGTTCAGTTCTAGTTCAGTTCTAGTTCAGTTCTAGTTCAGTTCTAGTTCAGTCTAGTTCAGTTCTAGTTCAGTTCTAGGTCAGTTCTAGTTCAGTTCTAGTTCAGTTTAGTTCAGTTCTAGTTCAGTTCTAGTCAGTTCTAGTTCAGTTCTAGTTCAGTTCTAGTTCAGTTCTAGTTCAGTTCCTAGTTCAGTTCTAGTTCAGTTCTAGTTCAGTTCTAGTTCAGTTCTAGTTCAGTTCTAGTTCGGTTCTAGTTCAGTTCTAGTTCTAGTTCAGTTCTAGTTCTAGTTCAGTTCAGTTCTAGTTCTAGTTCAGTTCTAGTTCTAGTTCCAGTTCTAGGTCACTGCTTGTTCAGTTCTAGTTCACTGCTAGTTCAGTTCTAAACTATAATCTATAATATATGTATGTATCAAAAGTCTGCAGTGTACTGATAATAGTCTACAATTTAGACTATATTGATATTTTGGTACTCTTGTCAATCATCTTGGACTATTCTTACTAATAGCCTGGAATATACTGCTTCATAGAGTGGACCAAAGCTTTCATGTAGTCTATGAGCTAATCTTATACCAAAATGTTGCAATCTTTATTAAAAATTTAAATTTTTGTAGCCAACATTACGGAGATACTTTTTTTAACTTATCACGATGCTTAGTCCACTGAAATAGGTATTTGTATGTACATACAAACATATTTTTTTAATTTTTTATTGTGGCAACTTTTCTTATCAAAATGACTTATTTTTTTTAAATAAAGGTTGGAGACAAATATGAGACCTACATATTATATGTACGTACGATTCCACTTAGATTTTTTTCTAATTATAACAAATGAAACAGTAAAGATTTAAATATTTTAAAATATTTTGCGTTGTCTATATTATTTTATTCGTGTGATTATTTGATATGCTAGTTTCTTCTTTTTTTATTTTATTTAATAATTTTTAATGTTTACTTAATAAAAACACTTTCGCTACTGAACTTGAAAATTTTTGCAATAGACCATGAAAACATTTACAATAATCAATTTTTATCCTGCCTGGTGTCTTATAAAAACACGAAAACAGCTATAATTGTTAAAATTAAGAGTATATTAGCAGAGTCTTAAAAGAATTTATTGATCTAAAAGGAATTTAAATATACTTAAGATGACATAAGCTAAGAAAAGGAATTCCATTGGAATAAAGATTCCCCAATAAAACCAAAACGCGAGAAAATGTTGTATCTACATTTATGAACATTTCTGACAATTGTTAATTTACTTTATAGCAAATCATATCATTGCCTTCCTTTAAAGTCTGCAAAATAGAAAAAACTTGATAAGTCATAGGAGGGTGGTAAAAACAACAACACTAACGTTGTTGCTGCTGTTACCTCCCTCCTTTTCCTTGTACAAATTGTATGTAAAATGAAATCAACAGTTGTTTTCATATTTTTTGTTATTATTGTTATTACAACATACATACTTACAAAAACGACATACATTGTGTTTTTTTTTTTTTTCAGATGTATTGTTGTCATAATTACTAACATTTGTTAACATTAATGAGTGTCCAGGCAGCATTTATTAAATGTGTATTGTGTGTGTGATAGAAAGAGAGAGAGTGATAAAGAAAAATATCAACATGACTGACAGACATGTCCTGTCACAACAATACTTTATTATTCATCGTGCTTCATTATACGACAGTTTGATTTTAATATAGCAAAACAAAATTAAATCCATGCAAATTTGTCTAATTTGTTAAGATAAAAAACAGGCGATTACTGAAAATAATGTTTCTGCTAAACAACTAAAACAACCACCAAATTAGATTAAACTATAAAGATTATTTGAGTGCAAAAGAATAATTACAAAAGTTTACATTTGAATAGCAATAGTTAAACGAAATAATTGATGGGAATGAGTTTTTGTTAAGTTTTATAATAATTTCAACAATAAGCAAACAAATGTTCAGTTATGGTGTTCGATGAAAAGTGAAGTTCGATCAATTGCACTTTAAATACAAAATGATCTTATAACGTAATATCGTTTGCGCTATTATAACGTTCTCTAGTTTGATTTCGACAAGTTCTTATTAGGGGACTCGAGTTCGGTTTGAAAGGATCGTTGTGTTTTCCATGGAAGTGATCACAGATTTCTATACTATTTCAGTTCTTTAACTAATTTGTTACTATATAAAAACACCAAAGACATTGGTATAACCAATGGGCCTATTTTCAACTAATTCCTATAAAGCCATGCAGATCCATTGTTGTTTTAATACTTGATCATATTTTACAAGCTGTCACCAAAAATTGTGGTCTGTCTTCAAAGATTTGAGAACTTCGGTATTTGTTACAACATCCACATCCTTCCTCCTGAACTGTTGGAGTTTCTGTGAGTATTATTTACTGCTCCTTAATATGGGATCTTTGTAGCCTCGCTGGCCACAAACTCTTCGAATTTGACTGGCGATGTGTCAATTTTATCTGACAAAGTGCTTTTTTCTTTCAATACACCCTTAGATCTCAATAAAGGATATATTTCTTAGCTTTCGCAGAGTCCGACAACCGCCGAAATCTATCCTATTAAAGTAAAGTAAACATTGGTTTTCCATTCTTAATTAATGCTGTCATAAAAATGTTTTAATAATGTAACTACCTCGATTTTAAATTTTTCAAAAAATCGATTTTTAATTTAAAATGAAATCAATCGTTATTACGATTTAAAACATTTTACCACGAATTTAGATTTTCATGAAGTATTAAAGGAACAACTACTGATTTTATGTTTTACATATAAAAATCAATTCGCGATGGAAACTTTTCTCGATCGGATAATACTATTTATGGAACTAGACTTTAATTAGATTATCGATTTTTAAGTTTTGAATATTAAATTGAATTTTATGGGAATTATAACAGTGATTTTATAATTTATTAATTTTTAAATTGAATATTATTTTTTTTTCTTTTTAAATACTTAAATAACCGAATTTTTTAAAAATGTATTTTTTTCCAAACAAGGTTGTATTTTTTATATCGAATATATGAGAAAAACTACATCTGGCCACTCTATCTGTGACTAGCACGTGTTCTGTCATAACTGTCAAAACATCTGTTGTTATTGTTTTCATTTTCTCAGTGCATTTGAATTGTGGCAAATTTTGTTAATTTTCCAATATTTTTCTCAATTATTTATTAAAAGTACACAATTAAAATGTTGAAAAAACCAAAGAACAAACAAAAAACGGTGGCAGACAAAATTGCCCAAACTCTTATGCATCCAAATGAAAGTGGTAGTGACAGTGATTCCGCCGATGAAGCAACAGCACCTCGCGTTATAGAATACAATGATGAAGACTATGAATTGCCTGAAGCTAGAAGTACAGAGTTTAGGAAACGCAATGTTAAGTTGTTATCAGAACAAAGTGCTAAATATAAAGGAAAAATAGCCTCAAGAAAAGATTTTGAAAGTGAAGAGGAGGATGACATTGAAGATGAAGAACTAGAGGAGGAAGAAGAAGAATATGAAAACTCGGATTCTTCTGATAATGAGGAGGCCTTAAATGCCTTCAGTAAAGCTTTAAAAAATAAGCAAAACAAACAGGAGGCTGATGATGGTAGTGACTCTGAAAATGAGGATGAACAGGAGGATGATGACGAAGCAGAGGATCAAGAACAAGATTCTGAGGAAGAGCAAGATTCCGAAGGCGATGATGATGATGATGAAGAAGACGACGATAGTGAGAATGATGATGAAACAGAAGTAATTAGTAAAGTTAATCATGAAGCAGAAATACAAAAAGGTTTATGTGTACAAAACCAATTGCGTATCTGGGAACGTTTATTAGAATTGCGCATAAATTTACAAAAAATTCTAAATAAAACCAATCAATTGCCTGATCCTAAAGAATTAAAAGATTTAGAACATAATAACAATAAATATAAGGAACTGCAGCAAACAACGTGCAAACAAACTTGCCAGTTATTGCAAAACCTTTTATCGTTGAAAACTAATCTCTGCACACAATTCTCCGAAGTAGACAAGGCCATGAAACCTTGCCTAAAAAGACCATCGCCCTTTAAAGATTACCACAAAGGCGAGCCACCTTTAAAGCAAGTTGGATTATATTTAGAAGAAAACTTTGAAAATTTCCGTCCCTATCGCAATGAAGTTCTACTCAAATGGGATGATCGTACTAAACTTCTGACACCGGGAGCTGGTAGCAAAAAGAAAACCTTTAATGAGGAATATGATATTATCAAGAAAATTGATAATGCTTTAATAAATAAATCAGTGCTTAAGGAGAAATCACAACAGTTAAAAAACTCCACGCAAACGGTGGAGGCAGAAGAGGAAAACAAACGTAATCCCAATATTTATGATGACAGTGATTTCTATCACCAACAGTTAAGAGAATTGATAGAATATAAAGCAAATACTACAAGCAATATGAGTGAAGTGACAAAACAATTTTTGGAATTACAAAAACTAAGGCAGAAAATGAAAAAGAAGGTGGATACTAGAGCCAGTAAAGGCCGGAAATTACGGTGAGTTTTCAAAATGATATTTTGTTATTTGAATTGTTATTTTATAGAAGTTTTTCCTTTTAGTTACATTGTGCACAACAAATTAATTAATTTTATGGCTCCCCATGATAACTCCACTTGGACTATGGAATCTATAGATGAATTAAGTAAGTCTTTATTCGTGTAATTTCACTTGAAACATTGAATAGAAAACAGCAATAAATCTAAAGAAAAATTTTGTATTAATATATTTTAATATTTAATAATAATTCGTTTTATTTTCCAAAATTATTGAAAAAAAAAGAAAATTAGGAAAAGAAGTACAATAAAAAAGTGTATCTTTTTGGAGGTTTCTATGAGCGATCATTAACATCAGTGATCATATGCCTTAAAGCATCCTTATAATATTTCTAAATCGTTTGTTTATTTCATTCATTTGATACAATAAAAACTTTACATAAATTTAAACATTAAATTAAAGAAGTATTAAAGAAATAGTATAAATGTAAATTGTGTGTATTACTGTTGTAATTCCAGCTGGGCTTAGCTATGAATCCATTGTAAGTTAAGATGTTGTGTTTGTAGTGGGGAGTATAAGGATATTGTGTTAGTTTTTGAGGATTGTTGTTCTATTTTAAATGGATTATGTGTTTTTTAATTTGAATTTTCTGTTAGTTTTCTTTCTTTTTGTTGGTTGTTAGCCTTATGTTTTGTTTCCTTTAGGTATAAATAAAAACTTAACAGTTTTATTTTATTTTTTACTTTTTTAGATTACTACAAGTATAAATATTTTTTTTACTTTGTTTTTATTAATTATAAATTATTTTCTGTATTTAATTTAATAATATTGTAGTTTTGTGTTATATTTAAACGCCTGTATGTTGTCTGTCTTTCCTAGTTTTTGCTTAAACTAAGGAGTTTCTTTTTTATCTGTATTTTTCACCATATAATTTCTTATATCGTATAAATATTACTACTTTTTTGTATTATTATTTTAGTTTATTTATATTATTTTATATTAATTCATTCGTCGTAACATTTATCAAGTTTTTTTATGTAAATGATTATGAAATTTTTAGTTTGGTATGTTTTTTGTTTTCGAGAAATCTTTTAAATTTTGACTGACTTTACTGAAATTACAAAAGTCCTCAGAGGGGTTTTGTAGAATACTTTTGTTTAATTTTAACTAAAAACAGAACCCATTACACCTAAAGATTTCTAGGCCTAAAGCAATTAATTGTTTTACCTTTTTGATTTTTGTTTTAATATTTGCTAAATAATTTTTATTTTAATAATTATATTTCGTCAATTATTTATTCGTTTCCTTTATTAAGAAACAATGAAATTAACTTAAATAATTTATAGAAAAACATATAATAGCATAATACATGTATAAAAAAGACATACAAATTCTAGAAATAAATTTATAAAAGATTCGTTATGAGATATTCGAAAATAAATGTTTTGAGAAAAGCAAATACTGTGATGTTCAATAGAAAATCAAACAAATACAATAACAATTGAAATATTTAAAAATATACTTTCGAAAATACTTTTTCTTATATCATAAAAACTAAAAAATTAAAATAAAATAATAAAAATGAGTAAAATATTGCACTAAAACTCTAAATTCAATAAATAATATACGAGTATATATATATCGTTATAAAAAATACAAATTTATACGTAAAGTGTAAAATATAATGTGCGAAGAGATATTCTAAGAAAAAAAGTGGGCTTGCACTGGGCTCGTTTTCAATTCGTTTCGTTACATTAAATTTTTGTTCACATTTTGCAAAAAACCTGCTCTAATATTTTTGTGTATAAATAGTGAAGGTAACAAATAATTAAATATGAATTATTCATATACTAGCCTAATTATTAATGGAATTTTTGAGTAGCAAAGGTAAACCAGTTTTGGTTTTTGATTTTGAAACCAATATGGTAGCAGTTTTACCCGACACACCACCGGCTGCAGTGCCTCCAGTACTGGTAGCAGCACCTTTTGCTGGTGACAGCACATAAGTAGCAGGATTATTAGTTTGTGATGTTGTTTGGTTAGTTTTAAATTGATGCTGTTGTTGAAATTTTAGCTCCTGTAATAGTTGTGTATGTTTATCTAATGCCTTTTGTAAATGAGATGATGTTTTATCACTGCTATGGATTTGAGTTGTTGGTTGCTGTTGTTGTTGTTGTTGAAGACTTTGATAGATTTTCAAAGGATCATGACATGTTTCATATAATGATTGTAACTGGGATTGTATAGAGGTGACATTGGAAAGTGTACTTTCCGTATCCACTGCACACGGTAAACCTAAACTGGGCTGTAAATAATTTCTCAATGAAGCCGCATTTTCTTCAGAAATCTAGGGAAATAACAAGGAAACGTATATTATATATTATTAAAGTTGTTGAAAAGCTTTTGCTTACCTTTTTATAATAATTTATAGTCTCTGTATCTCAAGTGCTTTTGGGTGGATGTATAACATTTTCCATATCTTTTTGCACACCAAATAGTTCTGATAAATGTTTAGCAAACAAAACATTCAATTCACTCATTTTAGCCATCTGCAAAATATTAAGTAATTTGTTAAATAGTTGTAAATGTAAAATAGAAATAGCTTTCTTGGTAAGATTTTTTGAACATTTTCTTCGCGAAAAGCTCCAATTAGAACATTTTATGTAAAAGTTCCAGTTGAGATTTTCCAGTTAGAACCTTTTATGTAAAAGTTCCAATTCGAGCTTTTCGTGTAGAAGCTCTAACTAAAGCTTTTTATGTAAAAGTTCCGTTTAGAGTTTTTAATGTAAACCTTTTATGTAAAAGCTCCAATAAGAGCTTTTTTATGTAAAAGCTCCAATTAAAGCCTTTTGTGAAGAAAGCCCTTAAGAACAAAATGAGATTTTTGTGAAAAGTTGTATATAAACTTTATAGAGCTTTTCAATTAAAGGCTTCTAAATAGAGCTTTTTTGTAAAATGCCCTAAAGAATATCATAAGAAATTTAGCTGTTTTGATTATCTCTAAATTGAGCTTAAAGCTCAAAGTAATTTTGTATACAAAAACTTTAAACTTCGAATAAAAATTGCAAATTTCAGTTTTTGAACTTACCGCTTGATCATTACATTTCTCTCTAAGATTTAAATTAGCAGTTTTTAGTTCTAGTTCTTGATTCATAAGCTCATTTTGTAATGATTCATTGCGTGCTTTCAGAACGGCCAATTCACGTCTCAACTCCTCAACTAATTCATTACTAGCGGCTCCACCTACGGATGCCGGTACAGGAGCACCAGCTCGAATTAATTCAATTTCACGTTTAAGGCGTATATTTTCCTCTTTATAGGTATGCAACTGACGTTTCCATTCATCTACATTTGCGGTGGATTCCTAAACAGAATAAATATATTAAAAAAAGTGCAAAAGTAAATAGAAAATTCAGTTTATCTTTAAACCTGTAAAGCACTAGTCAAACGTAGGTTATTATTTTTCAAAGTAGCCAATTCGATTTCCCATTTTTTGGCATTAGCACAGCTGTAATTGTAAATTAAACAAATTTAGAATTTGTAAATAAAAATGTCTATCGTCTGTTTTGTACAACCTTTGAGCCAAAGCCATCTTTAGACGTTCATTTTCATATTTCAATTGTTGTTCACTCGTGGGTGGACCACTGCCAGTATGCATGCCAACTACACTGCCGCCACTGCCACCGCCAGAGCTAACATTAACCATTGGTGCTGGGGAAGGAGCTGTTACATGTTCTGGCTTTATTTCTGGTGTTGACGTTAAAAGTTTATGAGATGGACTATCAGGATTTGCATTTTGAGTATTAGTATTTGACATATTGGGCGGTTCCACAGTATGAGGATCAACCATAGCAGCATTATCATTTTGTTGCATAGCAGCGGTTCTAGAACTAATGGGCGATGTATTAGCCGACGTAGGTGGGCGTCACGGCGGCGGAGCCTTAAAATTGGAAACAAATTCATTAATCTATACAGTTAGTATAAGTACTATAGCAAACTTACCATTAGCCGATTTCAAGGCATTTTTTGTGGCTTCCTTAACCTCTTGGAATTTTTCCACAAACTAGAAAATTAAAATACAAAAAATCCACATATTTACTAGGTATACACTTGTTTTATTTAATTGTTTAACAATTACCTTTGTCAATTCAGCTTCCGAAGAAAAGCCTAAACCATAAACTGTATTAGCCCGTACATCACTCCACTGGCCAAACTTTTGTGATGTCTGTGTGAATGTCATGTTGGGCGTAATAGTGGAATTTATCACCGCCTTGGTACCCTCAACACTTATAATGCGATATAAGTTGCGTGAAGAATCGTAAAAGAAACTAACATTGACTGCTTTCATACTGGCCGTAATCCAGGTGCGTTTAGTCTTCGGATCAATATGGAAGACATGCGCCTGGCAGGTGAATATTGGTTGTTCGCTAGAATAATTGTGATGAAATATATATTAAGAAAACCCACATATATCTATTACATATTCATAAATTCTTTGTAATCAACATTTCCTACTCTAACCATACACCACCCCCACCTACACCTTCCATCCTTACTTCCCTATTTTAAATTACACAAACAATTCTATAAAATAGTTGTTGTGTAGATTTTATTACTATTATTGTTGTTTTTGTGATGTGTTGTATTCTGTTCACTTATTCATGGTTCTCGGGGGAACCTTTAAAATCTGTAATTCTATTCAGTTTCATTACATTTTTACTCATATTGTTGACTCAAACGAACGAACCTAATTGGTAATTAACAAAAACAACAAGAGTTAATTTTCTTTATTAGGAAAAAACATAGAAAAACACCACCTGAATACACTACAACGGCAGCTGTCTAATATTCATTTAGATTTTTCTGTTTTTTGGGTTGTTTTTCTACTTTATTTGGCGTTGTTCTTTTCTATTCTTCGAACTACTACACTCCCCTTGACTTTATCCAACAAATGAAAAGTTTATTTTTCTACCACTTTATCTCTGACGCACCATAAATTTACAACACTTTTTAAAGTTATAAAAATAAATAGTATTTACCCCATTTTTTAAATAAATATTTTAATATTTTCACGGCTTTTCGAAAAAAGTTTTGCAAAAATTACACTGATTTCGATTTTTCCAAATTTTTTGTATGTCAAACAACTGCTTCACAGAGCCCTGCACCGACAAATATTAACGGCGATGGCGGCTGACACTATAAATGTCGGCGGCCGCTTAAAATCGACTGTAAGCCGGCTAAGTTTTCAGTTGTTTTTAAATTTTCAGGGATTTTATATAATTAAAAAACTTTAAAATATAAAATAATGCATGTACATTAGGGTGGCCCAAAATTTAAGTTGCTGATGTTCCCACCAATTTAGTTTATTCTAAGATACCAATTCTCAAAATGTTTGTCCTGACGGCAATATTTCGTAAGCTGGATCAAAGGATAAAAATAATACTACGTTCACATATTCACAGAACATTTTATTATCGTTAAAATAACAAAATTATTTTTTTTGTAAATTTATTTTTTGATTTTGACATTACTCTATGTTTAAGTACTCAAAAAAATCATTCCTGTTTTGAAAACATTGTGTGTATAATTAAACACGTTGAATGAGATGTTTTTGAACATAAAAAATGTTTGGAAAAACGAGTCGAATTTGATGTGTTTTTTTTTTAAACTTTATGCGTTTCAAAAAACACGAATGTGTGAACATATTACATATAAGGGTTTTCTGTTTTTTACATATTTCTGGCACTTAAACCATATGCAAATTTGGTATCATATTAAAGGTCTTTGTGGGACGATTTCAATAACATAACATAACATGATTTTGTATATGACTCCAAAATTATTACATATGTTGTAATTTTTCGAAAATTTTTTCGATTTTTCAAATTTTTTGTATGTCGACAGTGTCGTTAATATAGCTATTTTATTATTAAAATTATCAAGCGATTTTGAAAGGAAAAGTATATTCTAGCGATTTATTAACTTTGCTGTTAATGTTACCAGATTTACAAATTTTTTACTACATATAAACAATTTTTACCATTCACCTTTGTAGTATAAGTTTGCCAGTCATTCCGTTTGTAATTTTTACAATACAATTTTCCGATTTTGTAAAGTATGTACGTATATCCCCAGTCTTTGTAGATAGCGGAGTCGAATTAGCCATGTCATTCTATCTGTATATTCAACATACATACATCAATTTTCGGAAGACCTCAGATACTATGTATCTGCGAGATCCGAATCTCTCGCAGATATTTTCTATTTAAACTCAGTAAAATCGGTCCATAAATAGAGGAGGAGCAAAATTCCTTGAAAATATTAAGTTTTAAGGAAATAACATGGTTGAAATATTATAATCGGTTCAAAATTTCATATAGCTCCCATATAAATTTATATATTAAAAATGGAATATGTAAATCCTTCTAGAATATCCGTATTACAACAAAAATTTAGGTATATTAATTTAATATCAATAGAAATCGTACCACGTACTGAATCGATCCATAATTCATAGCTCCCTCTTTCGAAAATCACTTAATCGTAAACAATTTTTTAATTAATGTAGATATCGGGATAAAATTTTACTCAAATATGATTTATAATATGCAAATCATTGTTATTGTTTATAATTTAAAATTTAAAAATTTATAAATTTACCTAGAACAACCTCAATTTGGCAATTTTGATATCAAATATTGCGTGGTGTAATAACAGCATTTAAATTAGACAAATCGTTATTTTTAAAGCACTGCCTTATCTGGTGACAGCAATTTTATAGAGAGTGACATTTATATTTTTTTACTGTCATTTTGTTTAATTCTCTTTAACAACATTCGTAAACATTTGCAGAGTTACATTTTTTGCATCTTTTAGAAAATAGTAGCAAAAAACCACTCCTTACATTTTCAACGCTGCTCCAAAGAAAAAGTTTTGTAAAATATGGCGACCGGGCAACATTAAGATAATTTTTGTTAAAAATTTAATGTTTTTTAAGAAAAAAGTTTATAAAAATCTATAGAAAATGTGTTGATAACAATTGTGAATGCATTGTAAACAACAGCAAGTAAAAATATGTAAGTTTAGGGGCGAATTTTCACAAAAAAGTGTCAATGTGCAAATCGTAGTGTAGACATTTGAGAATGAAAAAGCAAGAGCAGATAATAAAGAAAAAAAGAAGTTAAAACAGTGCCAGAAGCAGAGGAGCCAGCTTTATATGTGTGTGTGTGTTAGTTCATCATATGTCAAATTATATTTTTGCCTTTGGCAAAAATTATTAAGAAAAAATGCCATTAAAAATGTAAAAACAAGGAAAATTTGCCAAATCTAAAAGAAATTAACATAATCCAACTGTAGTTCACAAATCAAATAAGAATTGGAATTGTAACTTAAAAGTTCTAGCTGTAGAGGTGGTGGTTTGTATGGGACATGTAAAAATTTAGGTTGGCGTTGGCGTTTAGATTTCCTTGCAATAACTACGCCCATGTTAGGAATTATTTAAGAAAAATGTAATTTAATGAAAATATTTGCAATATATTAAACTAACAAACAATATATTTCATTTATTTCCACTTTGGGCGAATGAACAGTTTTCATATTGAATGAGGTATACATAAAATGTGGAACATGATGTGCGATGTGATGCCAACTATTTCTGAGGACAGCATCTCCCAAAGATCGTCACAATTTAGTGGCGAAGATGCTAACTTTGAACAGCTTATGGTGTCCATGCTCGATGAGCGGGACAAGTTGATGGACAGCTTAAGGGAGGCCCAAGAACGCCTAAGTGAAACGGAACAAAAGCTTCATGAGATCGAAAAGGAAAGGGATAGTTTACAACGCCAAATAAATGCAAATTTGCCACAGGTTGGTATTCGTACAAAGTATAAAATCTAAAGGAAAATTATAATTCTATAAAATCATTGTTTAGGAATTTGCCACTTTGACCAAAGAACTTACACAGGCCCGTGAAACGTTATTGGAACGTGATGAAGAAATTGGCGAACTTAAAGCAGAACGCAATAATACCAGGGTAATGAACTCTTTAACTAAAAAACACTTGAGATGACTTAATGGCCAAAATATTGATTTTTATATACATACATATATTTTAGCTGCTTTTGGAACATTTGGAATGCTTGGTTTCGCGGCATGAACGTTCCTTACGCATGACTGTCGTTAAACGACAGGCTGCTGCTCAGAGTGGTGTCTCCAGCGAGGTAGAAGTTTTAAAGGCCTTAAAAAGTCTTTTCGAACATCATAAAGCTCTGGATGAAAAGGTTCGCGAACGTCTACGTGTATCATTGGAACGTAACAATTCATTAGAAGCTGAGCTAAACTCTACCAAAGAAGAGGTAAGCAATTGTTATATGTTACAAGCCATTTCTTCATTTTCTTGTTTGTTTTTTTTAGCTTCAACAATACAAATCAGGTGCAATGCAAGCTTTACGTGATAACAATACTGAAAATGGTGTCAGCGAAAAGGTGCGTTTTATACTTCAACCCACATTTGTGTTGTAAGAATTTATTTTGTTATTTAATTATTTATACGTTTGTGTTGTTTTGTTTATTTTAGAATTCATTAACCTTAAATGGAGAAAGTAATGAATCATCAGCCATAAATGCGGCCAATGATTATGCTGCCAAAACCCATGAATTGCAAACAATCATTGAGAAGCAGGTAAGTTGAAATTTAAAGATTACATTTTAATGATTACATTTCTTTTACATAATATCAGGGCTGCGTTCTAAGACCTCTGCAAAGTTTTTGAAAAATGCTTAAAACTATTTTTTTAAATTTTCTGAATAAAAAGGAAACCAAAAGTAATTGCAAGATCACTATCCTTGAGGAAATTGTTAAAGAATAAGAAGTTATTTTGAGAGTACTCATTAAAGAACTACAAATTTTTCTAAATACTTCTAAACTTTTGAGAATTCAAACTTTTTTTATTCTAAATCTTTAAATATTTTTGCTATTTTAACTCTTTTTAATATATTTACAGACCTCTGAATTATCCGAATGGCAACGTCGAGTATCGGCACTTAAAAATAAATGCGATGAATTGGATGAAAGTTTAGCCAAAGTTCAAAAAGATTATATGAAATCCCAGGAACAATGTTCAAAACTACAAAGAGATTTAAGAGAAAATGTAGCACAAAAAGAAGATCAGGTAAATAGCCAAACAAACTGACATTCATAATATGGAAAATAAAATTCATTTATGAAATTTGCAGGAGGAACGTATAGCGACACTAGAAAAACGATATTTAAATGCACAACGTGAATCTACATCATTGCATGATTTGAATGAGAAATTAGAACAAGAACTACGGCACAAAGAGGCGCAATTAAAGGTACTTTTGTAAAATCCAAAACTAAACAGCACACACTCGCAATCACACATGCAATACATAACCGTCATCTTCCCTTTTTGCATACATTTGTAACATGGTTTGGAAATGTAAAAAAAAAGAGTAGATGTAAAAAGAAAATAAAAAAAAATTGAAGAAAATATGTGTGTGAATGTGAAGTGTGTGTTGTATGCTTGAATGTTGTTGTTTTTGTCTTTTAAAGTTACACGAGGAGAAGATTAGTGCCATAGAAGAGAAATTGGAATTGTCGGAACAGAAGTTGGCCCAACAGGCCAAATTACAACCAGATATGGAGGAGCAACTTAAAGCACGTATGGAAGCTTTAACAAAGGTAGGAAATAAGGTATGAATGTGTATCGTATGCGTCAAAGAGGAAATCAATGAAAACAAAACCGTAAATTTCAATTTAATTGTTTTTTTTTTTTCAAATTATATTAAATTATTTTCTTATATACAATTATTTATAAAGTTTTATTCTTTTTGCATAGTTTTAAAAGAAATATGTAATACTTTAAAAATAATACCAACAAAAAACTTCCTGGTTATGTCTACTATTTATATTATTGTACATGTATTTGTTATACTTTTTTTCTTTTCAATTAAATTTGTTTTTCCTCTGAACGCACTGGCCCAAAATAAAACAAAATCAAACATAAAACAACAAGTACAACATAATTGCACCAAAATATATATATATACATAGATACGTATATGTATAAAATACATTAAATCGTATTCCCATTTTTAGTCACAAATCATTTTAAACATACATTTACAATATCATGCACAATTTTTGAGTACATTATTTTCGTTGCGATTTTCATTTACATTCTTTTTTTTTTTCAACATAAATATTACATGAGCAAACATTTAAATTTTCTATTTTTTCTGTTTTTATTTTATAATAACAAAATAAATTTAGGCTCAAGAGCGCCATGGCTCGGCTGAAGATCGTATACAAAGACTGGAGGCCAATTTGGAGGAGAAGAATGCGGAAGTAGTTAGACTTAACCAAAGACTTAAAATGAATGAGGAGCACAATATAAGATTGTCCTCTACCGTTGACAAGCTACTGTCCGAGTCGAATGAGCGTTTGCAAGTGCACTTGAAAGAACGTATGCATGCATTGGACGAAAAGAATGCTCTAACGCAAGAGCTAGAAAAGGCCCGCAAAGTGGCCGAAGAGTTGCACCATGAAAAGAGTGAAATTATGAAAGAACTCTCAAAGACACGCTTAGAAATTGAAAACTTTAAGCGACAACTGCTGCAGCAAGAAATAGCCTATAATATACAACAAACAGAGGCTCTTACGCGTAGCTTATCACCCAGTAGCGTAGTGGACGGACCACAGGCATTTTCACGCAGTGCTTCCCATGCTAGTTTCGAGACTCATTCTTTGCGGCGCAACAAGTCTCGTTTGCAGGAAGAAAGTGAAAAGTTTCATCGTTCAATGGCCGAACAGGAATGGGAGAAGCTACAACAGGCTCATGCCCAGCAGGCGGCCTATGAGATTTCGGTGGCAGCTGCTGAATGTGAAGAGGCTCAGGCAGCTCTCTTTGGCGATGCTGATATGATGTCACCCACGGGTCATACGGATGCCCAGACATTAGCCATGATGTTGCAGGAGCAACTAGATGCCATAAATAATGAAATAAGGTAAGAAGAAGGTGTTAAAATTTTGACTAAAATTTCACTAAAACTTCAATTTTTTTTCTTAAATTTCCAATTAATATAAAATATCAAATTTTTAAATCGAACTTTTTTATATTTACTTAAATTTCCGCAAAATTCGAAATATTGACTAAAATTACGAAATTTCGCTATAATTTTGAATTTTTATTAAAATTTTGAATTTTCACTAAATTTTGAAATTTCACTAATAAAACTGATATTTACACAAATGTTGACGAAATTATCGAATTTTCACTAAAATTTCGAATTTTTACAAAAATTATGAAATTTGACAAAAATTTCGAATTTTTACTAAAATTTAGAATTTTTACTAAAATTTCGAATTTTCACGAAAATTTCGAATATATACTAAAATTTGGAATTTTCACGAAAATTTAGATTCTTACTAAAATTTCGAATTTTCACGAAAATTTCGAATTTTCACTAAAATTTTTACTAGAATTTCGAATTTTTACTAGAATTCCAAATTTTCACTAAAATATTAAAATTTCATTGAAATTTCGAATACCAAAATTTTGAAACTGATTCAAATTTTGAATTTTTTTCTTCGAATTTTCATTACTTTAACTGCAGATTCGAACTTTTACTCTAATTTCAATTTTTTAGTTAAATTTCATTAAAATTTCAAATTTTACTAAATTCCGAATTTTTATTGACACTACTAATTACGATAAAAAAATTGAATTTATTGCTTTTATACAAATAATTTGAATTTATCTAGATTAATACAAGAAGAGAAACAATCAACAGAGGCTCGTGCTGAAGAACTTGAATCACGTGTTGGTAGTTTAGAGCATGTTAATCTATTAGCTCGTGGTCGTTCTATGGATCGTCAGAGTCCACCCATGAGTGGTCGTAGTACTCCCAATAGTCCCAATAGAGATTTTATGCAGAAATATCATACTGTAAGTTTACACAAATAATTTTAATTAATTAGCATTGGAAACATTCAAAAATCCCCTACTTTATAGCTCAATCTCCCCGTCTTATCAAGCGATGTTTCGCGTGATGACATACATGGCATGGCATCTAATACCGGTGACTCTAGTTCAGGTGGAGCTGCATCTCCTTTAACTGCACGCTCAATGCGCTTAGAACGTGTTGCTCAGGCACTGGCTCACAGCCAAGAAGAACTTCGTAGGCGTTCGATGGGCCTATCGCCCAACCAGCAAATGGCTAACAACTCAGGTCACATGACTATAGCCCACACCGGCTACGGTCTCTCGCCATTAAGCTCTCGTTATGGCAGCCAAGAATCATTAAGCCGTCACTTCAATACCATGGGTTCCATGTCTATGCTGCAGACGCCCACAAATGCTGTGGGGCGAGATTCTGCGTCGGTGGTGCAAAAGAAAAAGGGTATCAAATCTAGTTTAGGTAGATTCTTTAGTAAAAAGGAAAAAGTTAAGGGTGTCAAGGACACACTACCCGATGGTTCGCCTAGCATGATGTCGATTGGCAATCTGTCAATGGGCTTAAGTGAAACCGAATCAAACTATGATGCCATGAGTATGACAGGAGGTATGATGCCACGCATAGCTAGTGTGCCCGGCTCGAAAATATCTTCAGTCGATTATGGAAGACAAAAGAAGTAGGTTTCCTTTTTAGCTTTGAATAAATAAGGTTTAAATGTTATTTTTCTTCCCTAAACAGAGACCACGATTATCGCAATGATTTGCTGGGAGAGGCTATGAAAGCGGGCACACCATTTGCTTTATGGAATGGACCCACCATTGTTGCTTGGCTGGAGTTGTGGGTGGGTATGCCAGCTTGGTATGTGGCTGCCTGCAGAGCTAATGTTAAAAGTGGAGCCATTATGAGTGCCCTCAGTGACACTGAAATACAAAGAGAAATTGGTAAGTTTTAAAAATAATTATAAAAACTAATGAAATAAGCTTTATTTTGTATTTCATTTTAGGCATAAGCAATCCCTTGCACAGACTTAAATTACGTCTGGCCATTCAGGAAATGGTTTCATTAACTTCACCCTCGGCGCCGCAAACATCACGAACAACTTTAGCATTTGGTAAGTGCAAAAAAATAGCAAATAAAATTGTTAAAAATAGCTCTATAGGCATAAATTATAAAATTGTTCATAGACAAATATGATTAATAGTTTATTTTTTATTCTTCTCTTCTTTTTATTTTTAAGGTGACATGAATCACGAATGGATTGGTAATTATTGGCTGCCGGGTTTGGGCCTACCGCAATATCGCACAACATTTATGGAGTGTCTAGTCGATGCTCGTATGCTAGATCATTTAACGAAAAAAGATCTTAGGGGACAACTCAAAATGGTTGATAGCTTTCATCGTACAAGTCTACAGTATGGCATATCGTGCCTAAAACGTCTTAACTACGATCGCAATGAACTCGAGCATAGAAGAAAAATGTGTGAGAATGGTTTGTGTGATGTTTTAGTTTGGAGTAATGAACGTGTTATACGTTATATTTCCAGTATTGGTTTAAAGGTAAGTTAAGTTTTATATAAAAAAAAAATATCATACTTTTATTACAAGTTTGAACGTTCTGAAACTTTATCAAATATCAGGAATATGCAAATAATTTACTGGAATCCGGTGTACATGGAGCTTTAATAGCTTTAGATGAAAGTTTCGATGCCCAAGCAATGGCCTTGGCCTTACAAATACCAACACAAAATGCTCAGGTAATTTTTTTGTTTAATTGTAATTCTTTTTATAGTTTTAAAATTTCAAACAAAACTCCATTGTCTACTTCTTTTACCTATTCAAGGCTCGCCAAATTTTAGATACGGAATTTAATAATCTATTACAAATTGCCACAGATCGTAGGCCCGAAAATGAGCAACTTAATAAATCTTGATCTTATTCTCCAACCAATAACCAACTACAGTTATATGCCCCCAGCGATCCTTAGGCTAACAATATAGAGCTTGGTAAAAACGCATTACATGACTAGAAACATAGAAACAACAACAAAAACAACATAAATTGGGTCTGAAAATGTAATTTAAACTAAGCCTTTTTGAAGCCTTTAAAAAGTCGTCTACGTGTGTTCATGTTTAAACCAAAATTTAAAGTGTAACGCAAATTTGAAAAACAAAACAAAATATTTATTGCAATACTAACTACTATTACTACTCTGTTGTTATACATAAAACAACAAAGAAACATAATACATACATACATACTTATTTTTGTTAAGTATGTGATTAAATTTAAAACATAAAAAACAAACCAAACAAACAAAAAAAAAACATAACAAATGCCTACATACTCTCCTCGAAAATTCGTTAAATATAACTAAATATATTTAAGCCTTGCTTCTTACCACTAAAACCACTAACTAACTAACATTCACTAAAGAAAACTAAACCTAACTAAATGAATTACATTAAACAAGTACTTCAGAGAAATTTAAACAACAACATAAAAACATTGACAGTATTTTTCCTTAACTCCTTTAAGAGCAAAGAAAAGTTGTTAAGCTTTTAAACTTCTTCATTCTAATACCTACTAATACCAGTGCTACTCGCTCAGATACTTCCTGTTCATTACTTTTTCCAAGCTAAGAACAAAAAGCATATAAGAAAGAAACTCTTCATATATACAAATATTTACAACATACCACACACAAGTATACAATACAATTTATGCTTAAAACAACGCAAATGTATACCTAACATCCCCCTTAGCAGCTTCCACTCAACTATTTTTCACACAAGTATAGACAAATGAAACCAATGCAAACCAATCAACAATCCTCAAAACAAACATACTTAATAGCTTAAATCTTAACTAAAAATACAAAACAAAACTACACTATAGATCGGTCAACATTATCTCTCGATATGCAAATGAATGATATGATGATGTTTGAAAACAGCAAGTATTAATTTATAAACAAATAAAACAAATTTATATAATTACATACAAAACTATTAAATGAAATTACAGCTTTAAAAGGCATCTTTTTACTACAAAAAAAAAAAAAAAAAAAAAAAACATAACAAACAACATCATACATACTTTATATATATAAATATATATAAATACTAAACAATAATTATATAATTAATTAACAAAAACATAATTTCGATTTCTAAACTCTACATTAAACGCCGTTGATAACTAAAAATAAAAGGTAAAAGAAAAAAAAAAATCACAAAACAAAAAAATTGAAAATTAACCTTAATACTTGTAGTTTCGTACATTTGAAAAACAAAAACAAAAATATATACATATGAAAAATAACTACATATTAAATTTATTAAACATAAGTTAATTTATACATAAAAAAGAAAAAAAAATATTTGACAAAATTTCATACAGTTATAAAAACAATTTTTTTATTTGTTTTGCAAAAAGAAAAGAATATTTAGAAAATTAAAAAAATAGTTATAAAAAAACAAGCGAATATGTTATTAAAGGATATTTATTCTTTTTTTATATAAAACAAAACTGCCCTTCAAATAATATGTTTTAGGAAAAACTTAAATGTTAAAAACAGTGTTTTGAAAAGTGTAAAAGTTCATATTTAATAAACGACAACTTATATTCTTTAGGCTTTAGCCTTAAAAGTGTATATTTCTAAATGTCTTTTGAAATATTAAGAAATTATACAAATTACTTTATTGTGAATGAGTTTTTTTTTACAAATTGCTAGTTTATACCTAAGGATTTTAATTTCATAAACATTTTAAACCATTTTTATATAAACTTGAACTATTTTTTTTAAATATGTGCAATCAATGTTTCACTACTATTGTGAATGACATGCTAAAGAGCAAATGTCTTTAAAAATTTCAACTATTGAGTCTTATTTTACACGTTTACTTTAAACTAAAGTTAAATATAGAACCTAAATAATATTTATTTAAATTTTACGAAATTTTTTTTTATTAATTTAACATTATTGTGAATGAAATTTATATAAAATGAAAAACCTTTTATCACACAGAGGGAGAGAGAAAGTTGTATTATAAACGCTTTAAGGTGTTTCAATACAGTTTTACTTTTTATAGAAATATTGTGAATGAAGTTTTACAGCCGTACACATATTTGTAAAAAGGTTTTATACATTTTTCAACGTCTAAATTTAGATTTAAAACGATTTAATGTTTTTTAAATAAAGTTTTCAATTTATTGAAATCATTGTGAATGAAGTTCTAAATTAAATAACAAATTTGTATAAATAACGTTTAAAAAGTCTAGTCTCATAATGAAAATTCAGTTTAAATTGAAAACTTATTGTCACAAACAGAGAAAGTCCAATTAAAATCGTTTTATTGTGTATGAATACAGTTTAACTTTTTATGAAAATTATTGTGAATGAAATAAAGTTTTATGCATTTTACAAAGTCTAAATTTAGATTCAAAACGATTTGATGTTTGTTAAATAAAGTTTACAATTTATTGCAATCATTGTGCACGAAGTTCTAAATTAAATAACAAATTTATATAAATAACGTTCAAAAATTCCAGTCTCAACATATTTAAACGTATTCAGTTTGTACGTTATTGTGAATTGTGAAATTTCAGTTTCCATTACTGTGAATGATTTTAAATTGAAAACTTATTGTCACAGACAGAGAAAGTTCAATTAAAAACGTTTTATTGTGTATGAATACAGTTTAAATTTTTATGAAAATTATTGTGAATGAAATTCTAAAGCTAAAACTTTAAAACCCGTCCCTTTGTAAACATATTGTAAAAAAGTTTTGTAAGTTTGAGTAACTGCATTTTACTAGATTCAAAAATATTTGTTGTTTCGTAAATAAAGTTTTCAATTTATTAAAATCACTGTGAATGAAGTTCGAAATCAATATCAAATTTTAATAAATAACGTCCAAAAAGTCTAGTCTCAACATAAACGTATTCAGTTTTGAAGTCGTTATGATGAATAATGAAATTCAAGTTTCAGTTACTGTGAATGATTTTGAATTGAAAAGTTTTTAAAGTATTGCAAACATTACGTAAAATATAAAGTTAAATTTAAAACTAATTGTTGATGTTTTCCAATATATTTAGTTTAATATTCCTAAAAACTATTGTGAATGATTTTCTTAATCAAACATAAAAATTTGCAAAACCTTTGTATTTGTAACAATGTTTTCTATATCTGCGCTATTGGGAATGAAATTTTAAAAAATTAACAGTTTCAATTACTGTGAATGATTTTAAATTGAAAACTTATTAGAATATTTTAAACATTTGGCGAAGAATAAAGTTAAATTCAAAACTAATTGGTATTTTCCAATATAGTTTAATATTTATAAAAACTATTGTGAATGAAATTCTAAATCAAACTACAAATTTTGATAAATAGTTATTTAGGAAGTTTAAAATTCCATTCATTTGTTATAAAGTTATTGTGAATTATATTAACAAAAATAACTGTTTTAATTGCTGTGAATGATTTTAAATGTAAAACTTATTAAAACAATTTAGCATTTTGCGCAAATTATAACATTTAATTCAAAACATTTTGGAGTTTTTCAATTTTGTTTTAAAATCTCTTAAAACTATTGTGAATTAGTTTCAAAAGCAAACTTATAAATTCTTTAAAATGCCATCACAACATTAAAGTCTCAAGAATTTAATTTAGGGCGAATATTTAGTAACAACTTTATAGCGTTTAATACTGGTTTCGAAATATGAGTTATTGTGAATTAAACGAAAATTAGGGAAAATGAAACAAACTTATCTCTATTCGAACAATTAAAATTATTTTTATCCTAAAATTAATGCAAATAATATAGAAAATAAAACGTTTTATATAGCAACGGATGATTTTGAACATTTTTAAAGATTATTGTGAATGCAATATTAAATTTAAATTAACATTTCTTAAAACTTTTGGGAAATGAACACAATTATTTATGCATACAAGTTGTTAGTAAATCAAAATGTATTCATTTCAATAAAAATATTTTATGTTTAATATTAAGCATAAATAAAGGTATGACAAATTTCTAAGCAATTTAGTGGTTATTTAAAATATAGTTTGCAAATTAGTATAAAAATAGCTTATGTTTTAACAATATCATTTGCAAACGCTTACCTGTTTTCAGTGATAAGGCTTATTCAAGATTATTTGCAATATTTTCATACAGGTCATTGAAATATTATGGTTAAATCATCAATTATATGACTGTTAAACTTATATTAAGCAAATTAACATAATACCAAAATTAATTTCACTTCTGCAGCTACTTTTTAAACATTTTTTTGCATTTAAGTATTTTCTTGTAAAGATATTAAAATAAGGGCAGTTTTTTTTTCTATTTAATTTTTATTTTTTTTTAATAACTTGCAAAATAAAAGCATATCCATTATTGTTTATTTTTTTTTTATTATTATTGTTTTGTTATTAATATTTAATAAACATCAGTTAATAAGTTATTTAACAAACTTTTTTTATATATACAACATAATTTTTTTTTATTTATTACTACTTTACCACCTATAACATGCTTGGCCTTAATTTTATTAATTTTGTATTATAATTTTCTAACAATATTTTTGTTTTAAGTTAAATAACATTTCTGTTAATAGTTATTATTGTTTTAACAAACTCCTTAGAACAACTTTAGTCTCCCCATCCCTCTTAAATTCCTAAATACTTAATAACTTGCACTCTGTTTAGCCTTTAAATTTTTCATAAACTAATTATTAAAAACAAAAAAAAAAAATGCTAATAATAATAAAAAAATATAGTATAACTTTACTAAGACAAAAAAATTAACTCATATATTAACTATTATGATTATAATTATTATTATCTATATACATATTATTATATACAAAATTATATAGAAGACATTCGTATGTACATAACATTATAAACAAATAAAATATAGTGTGAATTAATTTAAAAGAAAAGTGAATATAAAAAAAATGAGAAAAAAAAACAAAAACTAAGCCTTTTAGGTTTATTTATGTAAAAAATAATAATAATAAATAATAATAAATGATGTATAAGCAAACAAAATAAAAAAAATATATATTTAACAAATATTAAGACAGAAATCAGCAAACAACAAAAAAAAATCGGTTAAAACTGAATAAAAATTAACAATCCCGGTGTACTTAAGAAATGTTTGGAATTTTTTTTCTTAAGTAGCAAATAACCGCTCTAAAAATATTTAATACAAAAATAATATTAAAAAAAATGAACAAATATATGAATATTAATACAAAAATAAAAAATAACAGTCGTTCATTTGCTAAGTTTCTTTAAAAAACAGTGTAATTCTTGTTTAAGTTCTTTAACATACATATGTATAACACATATGTAAATTTAAAAAAGTTTTCAGCGTTGGCGTTATATTTTATTGAAAAGTATTATACTTCAATCAATTATCTATAGAAGAAGCTGGTGATAAAGGTAAAGAAAGGAATTGTTTTTTGGAAATGCTGTAAAAAAGGTAAGTTTCTTTAATATCATACAGTAAAACAGATTCAGATACAAATTCGCAAATTATTACTTATACCAGTCTTGTCACGAATGCGATATATGCACTAATCATCATCCCTTTAGTTTTATATCCCTAATAGACTCTTTAAACATGCATATGGCTTTTTGTTTTTTTTTTTTTTGCCCCACTCATAATAAACAAATATCGCGTACTACATGTTCCTTACAACATGAATTCGCTAATACGCGACTTGACTGTTTATTCATTAAAATAAGTAAACAAACAAATAAAAAAAATTATTTAGTACATATAGTATAGTAGTATGTATTATTAATAAAACAATCAAAATCAATTGCGTGACCAACCGACAACCGTCCATACAAGAGAAATATTAGTTAATTATTCACACAAACATGCACAGAGTAAATGTACATCATCATACAATGAGACTACGATTGCTCTAAAACAGATAGACGAACAGACTAGGGGAACAGACTGCCAAATGTAGACAGTTGGAAATGTTAAGGAAAAGTATTCTAAGTGTTATAACATGATAACTCAGAATCCAGAAGATAAAATATATGGATAGACAGAAAGACGGGCAGAAATAGATGATAGATATATAGATAGATAGATAGATAGATAGATAGATAGATAGATAGATAGATAGATCGATATGATAGATATAGATAGATAGATATCTATCTCGATATATAGATAGCTCGCTCTCTAGCTCGCTAGCTCGATCGATCGCTCTCGCTAGCTCGCTCGCTCGCTCGATCTCGCTCGCTCGCTCGCTCGCTCTCTCGCTCGCTCGCTCGCTCGCTCGCTCGCTCGCTCGCTCGCTCGCTCGCTCGCTCGCTCGCTCGCTCGCTCGCTCTTCGCTCGCTCGCTCGCTCCTCGCTCGCTCGCTCGCTGCCGCTCGTCGCTCGCTCGCTCGCTCGCTCCTCGCTCGCTCGCTCGCTCGCTCGCTCGCTCGCTCGCTCGCTCGCTCGCTCGCTCTCGTCGCTCGCTCGCTCGCTCGCTCGCTCGCTCGCTCGCTCGCTCGCTCGCTCGCTCGTCGCTGCTCGCTCGCTCCTCGCTCGCTCGCTCGCTCGCTCGCTCGCTCGCTCGCTCCTCGCTCGCTCGCTCGCTCGCTCGCTCGCTCGCTCGCTCGCTCGCTCGCTCGCTCGCTCGCTCTCGCTCGCTCGCTCGCTCGCTCGCTCGCTCGCTCGCTCGCTCGCTCGCTCGCTCGCTCGCTCTCGCTCGCTCGCTCGCTCGCTCGCTCGCTCGCTCGCTCGCTCGCTCTCTCGCTCGCTCCTCGCTCTCGCTCGCTCGCTCGCTCTCCTCGCTCGCTCGCTCGCTCGCTCGCTCGCTCGTCGGGTGCTCGCCTCCCTTTTTCCCCCGGTTTTCCCCCCGGTTTTTTCTGCTTTCCCCGTCGGTTTTTTCTTCCTGTTGCTTTTTCGCCTCTCGCCTCCCCCGGTTTTTTCCCTTTTTCCCCCCCGGTTTCGAATACTTTTATTTGCTTTGTATTCAAAATTATTTAAATGAAATTTTTAAGTAAATAATACAGCCCGTCTAAATTTTAAAAATATTCGAGTCGAGGAACTAGAGTATATTTTTCTACAGCTCTTTTCGTTAAACTTTTTTGATTTTCCTAATTAATTAAAATTATTTGTAAAATGGATAACTGTTTGATAAAATTTAGCAATCTTAAGATTATATTCCAATTACAATAATTAATTTACGGCTGAAATTTTATGGAAGCGTTGGAATGCCTATGCAAATTTCCTAAACAGGGCTTTTAAAATAAGCTAGGATTACATGTTTAACAGAAGTGTCCCACTTTTTTCCTAATTTTTTATATTAAAGAAATAATGTAAATCAGGCGACTAGATCTAAAGTTATAATCTTTAAACTGTTAAAAATCATTTCGGGCAATGTTTTATTAATCAAATTTAAACATAAACATTAAGTTTTTCAAATTAAAATATATTTTTTTAATTGTGATGAAAAACCGGTTAACCGGTTTTTTCTGAATTTGAAAAATATCAACCGGTTTTTTTAAATGTCAACTATTCGAACTATTCGAAAACCGGTTTTTGGAAAATGTCGAATAATCGATCACCCTAATAGATAGATAAATAGACAGACAGATATGTACTGAGGTATTCCAACAAAAAAAGGAACCAAATAAAGAATCCATTCCATTTTGTTTCGTTTTGGTAATGCAATCGAGCTTTCGTTACAATTTATACCCAGATGGGAAAATCTTATTGTCCGATTTTATCAATTTTCCAACTGGTCTTTCAAAAAAAGCATGTTTGTACCTTCGTGCACTAACAAACCAACATTCATACATACTTATGCAAACAGACATTTCATTTGATTTCATTCAATAAAATATGAAATATCACAGTCCCACCAAAAGTCAAAGAAGAAAACAAGATATAACCAGTCAACCTACAATGATGATAAAGTATTCGTTCGTTTATTCTGTGTATCTGTCACCTTATGAGACTGAGACCGAGAGTGTGTCTCCCAGAGTGTGTGTGAGTTGTGTGTGTCTGACAAATAAAAAATAAACGAAATTTTGCTTTTGTTTTCAAACAACCGTTTTGCGCAATTCGCAATTTATTTTTGTATATTTACATTTTATTTTATCGGTGTTTCTGGTAATGTAATATATAGAGGGGTTGTAAGTATTGTATGTGTCTATATTAAAAAAATACATACTGATATTTATGCATGTATGAAAGTATGACTGTTTGTATGTAATGACTCCTCGTTCCCACACTCCCATTAACAAATTGTAGACAAAATCTGTTTGTTCGTTGGTCGTTTCGCTCGTCGTTTCGTTCATTCCGTGTCTGTTTGTTGGTTTGACATGACTTGAAAATGTTTCTTAATGAGCAGTGGCTGAAATGTGTGTATGTAAGTGACTAAATAGAGAGTACTTTTTATTGGGGAAATTGCAATATTTTTGTTTTTAATAAAAATAATTAACTGAATATCTTTTATTACAAGTTTCTTCTTGTTCATTTACTTACAACTTAAACAATTATGTTATTAAGTTTGTTTTTGTTTAAAACATCATTATTAGCTATTTTTGTTTATGTTTTATTTTATATTTTTCTTAGAGTGTAGTTTTAATTCCATATTGGGCTCTTTTGGAATTGGAGCTAATTAGTGCGCACGCGTATGAAGGCAGCAAACAAAAACATTTTTACTTTATACACATGTACCTACACTTATTTTGTCTAACTATATACATTTATAAACTGATTTGCAAACAAAAAATATAAGTGTTTTTTTGAACGATAAACACCGTTTTACGATTGACCCTACACTTGGCTAAGGAAATTGTTATGTGTTAACATGATTAATGTTGTTTTTATGGTGGTAATAAAAAATAAATGTTTTTATTATTTTCATGTTTATAATTATAAGGTTTAGAGGGTGGATTTTTTATGCTTGTAATAAGTTGTGCAAATTTTAACCCTCTAAGGTATATTAACCCTCTACGGTATATTCCATGTTAAAATGCTATCTTTCTTAATGCAATCTAATCCGTCATTAAACAACATTATTCTCCTGATATAACAAAATATAAGATGATGTTCAAATACCTTTGCAATATATCCAATTATCTGTCAGTTCACCTCAGTAGTGTTTGGGTCAACATATTGATGGCGCATTCGTGTTCGAGCTGTCGTATGGAAAAAGCCGCATTGTGAAAACAATCCTATATGACTTTAAACTTTATCCTGCGGATGACTTACAATACTTGAAGGGAATTACCGAATTAATATCGAAAATAACAAGAATATTATGATTATTTTTACGAATATATTTTCTCCACTTACTCGATGTCCTCGACATTGTAGATCATATAAAAAACGGCATGATTTCCCGATAGAAGATGTGTTTTGGATGTTTAAACGTCCTCACAGTGCCAATCATTGAAATGCATCATACTTATCTGAAACCTACATATTTCTTTATACATATGGTGAAATTTTCGATTCGAATTGAAATGCAAACTAGGAATGATTAAACTTCTAGAACACATTTCCATCTTATCAATGCAATCTGATGACGCTTTTCCAGACATCCTTACCTACTGTAGTTGTACTTTTAAACCCTATGTTTGTTACTGTGAAGTCTGAAACTATCAAGCAATTATATTGGATCTAACAAGCGGTATAACATTGTCCAAATATTTTGTCAAAAAAATCATATATTTCAAATTTTAAATGATATTACCCAATGAAATTATTGAGATTTTCAGTTTGATTTCATTAATTTAATACTGAGGTGGTTTTATTTTACGATTCGATAAACAACAATTTTCGAATTTGTATGTTAAATACATTATTTCGAAAGATTTGGCTTAATCTTCATGATTTCTGCAAAGAAAGTTTTACTATCAATCGGATATTCGAGATGTCCAGCTACTTAATCAATTTTCAAAATTCTTAATTTAACAATCTAAATTATTGGTACTAATTTTTTAATGATTTTAGATGAATTCCAAATTTACTTGTGGTTAATCACAAATCGGGAATTGGTGATCAATCAAACTCTTGTATCGAAATCACAAAAATGAAACTTTCAATATACATATTTTACTCGATCTCAAATCTGAAACTGTTCCGATGTTATGACATCTAAAACTACAAGATTTTCAAAAAGAATTCCAAACTTTTTCATAAAACATCAATGTTATTGAACATTAAAGGTTTAATAAACCAGAGTTATGGTTTGATTGAAATCATTTAAAGCCCAATAAGGGTGGAAGGGGGTGGTGTTTTAATTTCATTGATTTATAGTTCACGTGTAAGGTATTTTCACAGTTTAGTATATCCCAAACATATGTATTGTTTTTGTTGTTGTTGTTGCTGTTTTTTGCTATCCCAACAGTCCCAAAGGGAAAATTGTTACTTCATAAGAAGGAATGAAAATGAACCGAAAAATATATAGCAAAAAATGGGGAAAAAAGAAGTAAAATCTCCGCATTATAGTGCTTACAACTCATAATTTCGCTCACACATTGTCAGTTGATGAGTGCTTATTGTATGGTGCTAATGTTTCTATCGACTAATGTCGCTTAGTTCGTACGTTCGTTGGTTGGATGGATGAATGGTTGGAAATGGTTGTTTGTTTGTTTGTTTGCTTGTTAGTAGTAGACCGACTCTATTTTGCATTCTGATTCAACTTTGAAACACACTTCAGTCTAATAATACCTCCAACTAAGTAAGATTGCCGACGAATCAAAAGCGGAATATTATATTATATGACGACGATGTGACAACGACATTAAATCAAATACATACACAAGTGTCTGTGCGTGAGATCAACAAAAAATATATTGAAATTTATAAAATATATAAAAAAAATAAAAGAAAAATTCAACAAACCCACATTAAAAGTGTTATGATTGCAATGAAAATTTAAATAAAAACGATATTAAAAACAACCTACAAAAAACATATAGCAAACTACATTCACAAAATGTAGGCCCGAAAATAATGAATTGAAAATGTTTTATACTTTATTCCAATTCCAATACAAAAAATTAAAACATTTGCATGAAGAGAAACAGTCTGTTGGAAAAAAATTGAAGAAGAAAGAAAAAAACTAAATCATCAGAAGTCAGAACACAGCAAAGTGAGTGAACGTAATTGAAAATGAAAGCTCATAATTTATACAAAAAATTCAAATGATATATAACAAACAATACACTTACTTCTTACATCTTTCTACTGCAATCATAGAGATACGCAGATACCAAATATGAAAAATGAAACAAATTAACACCAACAACAACAACAACAAAAGCTAAAAAAACAAAATAAAAATTATTAAAGTTTTCTTCTTGAAATTTTTCTAAAAAGAAAATTACATTGTATAAGTAAGAAAAAACTTTGTATACATATACTTCATATACATACTTATATATTGAAACATCCGCTGTTGAAATACTCATCATCCATCAGATACTATTCTATAGTACATATACAATATTCATACTTACATACATACATACATATATATCTATCCATCTATATGTAGGGAAGTATGAAAAATCGATGCCAGACTCTGTAACTTCAAAGCGGCCAGTCATCGTATTCGTCAATGTGCTGCTGATGTTTGCTTAGATTTCAATAATTAAAACAAAATAATAAAAACAAAATAATAATACAATTGAACAAACTTTCAATTTAATTTAATAAAAATCCACAACAACGACATCATAACAACATTTAATTTAAAACGTATTAAACGAAAAACGAATTACCTTCTTCTTATTAAGTTTAAAACTGCAAAAAGCAAAAAAAAAAAAAAAATATTGAAATAATAAGTGTATAGAAAATTAGTTCTTATAGAACCGGAAAAAAGTAATCCTTTTGCAAAAACTAAAGTAGACAACACGTCCTTTACTTTAAATGACAAGTGCATCCGTTATTGATAATGCTCCCACAATCATTCACAACCTTGTAACACATCAAAAACATTAGAGGCCAACTATTATTCAAACTTTAATAAATGGACTTTCGATTTATAGTTACGGTAGTAACTAAATCTCGATAGAAAAAACAACAACAATCATTTCATCAACTGCCGCAGCAGCAAAAGTATCATATTTTCGATTCTATTGAACATTTCTCCAAACAGAACCACAAATGTAGGTTTAGTATTTTTTATTGTTGTTTTTTTTTTATGTATACGAGATTAAACGATTTTCTTTCTTTAAATACACACACAACAAAACAAAAGGGAAATCGAAGAGGAGGAAATGTTAGATGCTGTTACATTTCCTATTGATGAAATACCCGAACCCATTAAAGTACTAGATGATATTATATCCGAATTTGAGGATCTATCATTGAGGCCACAATTACAAAACAATGGAGAGAATCAATCAGAAGATGATGGCTACATGAGTCTTAGTCGCAAAAAGTAAGTTATTGGTTAAATTCAGTAATTTCGATAGATAGATAGATAGATAGATAGATAGATAGATAGATAGATAGATAGAAGATAGATAGATAGATAGATAGATAGATAGATAGATAGATATAGATAGATAGATAGATAGATAGATAGATAGATAGATAGATAGATAGATAGATAGATAGATAGATAGTAGAGATAGATAGATAGATAGAAGATAGATAGATAGATAGATAGATAGATAGATAGATAGATAGATAGATAGATAGATAGATAGATAGATAGATAGATAGATAGAGATAGATAGATAGATAGATAGATAGATAGATAGATAGATAGATAGATAGATAGATAGATAGATAGATAGATAGATAGATAGATAGATAGATAGATAGATAGATAGATAGATAGATAGATAGATAGATAGATAGATAGATAGATAGATAGATAGATAGATATAGATAGATAGATATAGATAGATAGATAGATAGATAGATAGATAGATAGATAGATAGATAGATAGATAGATAGATAGATAGATAGATAGATAGATAGATAGATAGATAGATAGATAGATAGATAGATAGATATAGATATATAGATAGATAGATAGATAGATAGATAGATAGATAGATAGATAGATAGATAGATAGATAGATAGATAGATAGATAGATAGATAGATAGATAGATAGATAGATAGATAGATAGATAGATAGATAGATTAGCTTCTTCAAGACAAATGTTCTTAAAATCTTTTTATTGTCTTCACAATTTCAAATGTAAATTTAAACGAATGAACTTGCTTTTAAATTCTTCACTTTTTTCCAGCATGAAAGAGAAACGCGATTCGGAGGAAATGTCCCAAACGAGTTCAAGTTGTGCTCCAACCGTGACGCCTAACGAGAGTTTTGATGCTGTTGACTTGGCTCGTTTTGAGACAAATGGCAATTGTAGCAAAGAATTTATCGAATCGAAAACAACAGCAGCCACAACGCCCACTAACAATGCCAATATAACAGACGTTAGTAATATAGTGCAAACAACTTTAGTGAGTAGTAAAACGTCGATTAAATGGCTATAGGAAAAAAAAACTTAACAATTACAAAATTAAATTTTCACAGCCTAAGGCACGTACTTCAAACTCAACGGCACCAAGCAACAATTCTAATTATTCTAGTCTTCCATGTTGTGGACAACGTACCACCAACACAGTTGGTGACCTAAAACTACGTGTTGGCAGCTGTAATGGTGAAAGGAATGCGCTGGGTATTGATATCAGTGCTGTTCACAAAGCAGTGCTAAAGGGACGTGTTGCCAAACTGCCCGGTAAGTAATTGAAAAATTTGAATAGTTTTAAAAATATTAAACGTAATAATGATTAGAGATTCACATGGCCCTAGAACCCATACTAAATGAGCATCCTGTAACCATATATCCCGGTCCCAAAGATGGCCCCTGCTGGGGCGCGTAATAGTCGGCCAAAACGTTTACAAGCTTCCGTAGATAAACACAAGGAAGTTTGTCATATTCTTAATCCAGGTAACACATCGGTTTCATCTTCATCGTCTTCAAGTTCACCAGCTAGTACTGGAACCTCTTCTGATAATCAGAATCATAAAACCAATTCCTCCTCTTCTAATAATACGTTGGATAAATTTTTCAAAAATACCACAGACGACGATGATGAAGAAGAGGAAGAATTGTCTGAAGACTCGGCAGAAGATCCCTCAGGCATAACTATTTCTTCGGAGTCAACGTTACTGACACCTAGGGGCATAGCTTGGGAAATTCATTTCAAGGATTTCAAAAAGAAAACGAAACAACATCAACGTGAAATAAAAAAGGTATGTCAATCTCTCCATAAAAGCTGAGGGAATACTTATTAAACAAATACTTTTAGAAATCTTCGACGGCCCATACAAAACAGGGTAATCTGAAATCATCTAAAGATGATTGCAGACATTTACAAAATGTTGCTAATAATGAGGAAGAATTTCGTTGTTTCGAAGAAAGTTCTGAAATTCTAAATTCCTGCGTTTTCCGTCAATCAAGTATGCTGGGCAAGGGTACATTTATCATTCGACGTGGTTCCACTAAACGGCCACCCCGAGCTATGGATATTTTCTCCAATTATGATACATCCAAAGATGGTTTAAGTGAAAGTGAACCAGATGTCGATTCTGAATCAGAACGTGCCAAATATATGGCGAATGATATGAGAAAAGATCCTTTACCATGTGATATTATAAAAGATGGCAATATACGACATAGTTTGGATATAGGAAAACCATTAACTTCTCCTAGAGAGCGTTTATCATTGAATTTGGAATCGCATCATGCTCACCACAATTCACTAAAAAAGGATCTGTCTCCCATACAGCATCTTAGTAAATCGAATATAGAAAGTAAGTTAAATCAATTTGATTATCAGTTGTACGCAGTTTTAAATGTGTTTAAATTAAAGCGTCCAAAAAAGGCAGCTTAAAATCATTGGATGGTCGTACTAGTTCCGAATCTATTAATATTGTAAGAACTCCTTGCCATGACGAGGCCAGTGGTTTTGATCTTAAGTCTTCGGGAGCCAGTGTCATAGATCCCACAAATATGTTTGTTTTTAAGCAGTCATCAAATGGTGCCATAAAAGGAGCAGACTTTAGTGGTAAGGCAAAATAATATAAACAAAAATGCTGATAAAAAAACGTTAACACTTTTTCAGAGCTGCGTTCAACTTCTACCACACCTCACACAGATCTGGCTCCTACCCTGGAAGAAGATGAGGAGCAATTAAGTGATCTGAGTTATAGTTGTGCTCCTTTGAAACAAATCGAAAACAATATTAGTGCTCTCTTGCGTGGTGAAATTGCCGTGGCACGCATGGCTGATATAGCAGGACAGCCTGTAGCAAAACGTCCTTTAGAATTTCGTCCTGGAGTACATAAATCGGAAAGTGCCAAAGAAATGAAATTATCACAAAATGTATTCGGACCCTTACCGCCATCACCGCCCTCTTCCAACCCGGATACTTTTGTAAGTTTAAGAGATTTAACTTTTAAGAATTGTTCTTAAAGTTATATTTCGTTTCAGGACTACAATGATTTGCCTTTACCACCCTCGCCCTCAGACGATACTTCGGTGGGCGAAGATGATATAAAACCGCCTGTCAAACCCTTTGTGCAAACCTCTGCAGAAGTTCATACCCAGTCAGTATCGCGAGAAGAATTACGTCCTCAACGGTCAAAGGAACGTGAAAAATCTCGACCTGTTCACCGTCATATGTCTGATGAATTGCCTTTACCTCCGCCACCACCACCTCCAACAGCATTTGAGAATTTGCCACCTGCCGTGCCACCGCATCGTCACGGTCATTCATCGAATACTATGAAATCTTGGTCAATTGATTCGAATTATAAACGGAAATCCCCGCGTATGATGGGAGGCTATGGCAGTGGTGTGACAACACCCACTAGTTCTCATGGACCTTCATACGAAGGTAGCGGGGGTGGAGGTTATGGCACCAGACGTTATGTATCCTATGGAACTAAACGCAGTTTAAAACAGTCCCCCAGAGAGGAACATCGTTTACAAACATCCTGTAGTCTACCCGAAACTCCAATATTTGCTCGTGGGTAAGTTATCTGGAATATATGTATATAGTTCTAATTTTGATATTTTGAGGCATTCATTTTTATTAATTATTTAGCTGTGACATACCCCGTACTCCATATAGACGCCAAAACGAAAATACTCCCAGCGGTTCTCGCACGGCCCCTAGATCCAGTACTTCCAATAACATTAATATGGGCAATTCAATTGTGGGCATATCGGGTGGTAATACTTTCGGTGGGGCTATGTGTCGTCAACGTTCCATTAATCATGCTTTAGCTTCCAATGAAATGCTTAGACTTGCCGGCGCTCCACAGCGGGGCTGGTATCCTAAACAGCGTTCTATGCGTCCAGCCTCTACAGAGAATATAGATCGTATTTCAACCATGAGACCATGGGATGGAACTCCTGGTATGACCGGCACAGGTCAGGCAAGGAAACCCTTAACACTACCACCCAATTTGACACCATCATTTCTAAATAAATCACCCAGAGAAGCTTTACGTAGAGTTACTAGTTTATTAATAACCAAGAAAAGTAAGTAAACATCAAATATTTATAAGGAATAAAGAAGTAAATCTCCTTTTTTCCTCTCCAACAGAACCAAATAAGGATAAAAGAAGCAAGTCTGCTTATACAGCCGATCATGCATTAGAGGCACATTATTATCAAGATATCGAAAGAAGTAAGTTTAAATTATTTGATATTAAAATCATGTTTATTTACTTATAATGCTTTTTATAGGCTCCTCTGTTAGCACTGCAAATACAACAACAAAAGACTCAAAACGTGGCCAAAGTAATACCGCTGATAAGCCGAAGAAAAAAGGCATATTTAAAACTTTATGGAAACGTACGAAACATTTTTCATTGGATCAGTAAATACTAAACTATTTTATTAATCTACTACTATATTAGATTTTTTATATATGAGAATTTTTAACCAAATGCCCTCCAACAAACAAAAAAGTCTAAGCACATCCTCTTCTCCCTCAAACAAACAAACATTCACTCTTAACGTAAAATTTATTTCACACATTACCAAACAATTCATAACATTAAATACATACATACGTATACATTTATAGTATAATAGTTATTATAAATCCTAACAAAAAGAAAACCAAAAAAGAATATCTTAACTCTTTTTTATCTACATGTAATGCACAAAGGCGGGAATCTCAAAGACTGAAATTATATGCAATTTGTCAACCAAAACTTTTTAACACAAAAACACACTTAAAAAAAAACCTACCAATCACTTACTAATGAATAAATAACGAAACTAATGTGTACACTACGTAGAAGTCGCAAGACGTATATGTATTCTAACGTAACGTAAATGTATTCTAACTACTTACAAACAATGTTTGGAATAATGTTGAACAATTTTTTAAAAATACATAAATAATTAAAATTAAATTCCTGGCAATGGACGAATTTTAAAATATCTATACTAAATACAGACGTAAATTTTATATTATTATAATTTTTTTAACTTATTTTGGAAGAACAATAATTTTGTAGCACTTTTTTACAACTATATAAAGTACATTTTGAATCCTTATAGATAGCAAAGTCTATTTAGCAGTATGGTATCTGCAAAAGACCCCAGATGTATTCCGAATTCAAATATAGCATCATTATCTACCACAAGTTTTCGAGATGATAATTATATACATATTAATATATTAAACAAAGACTTCTTAGAGATCTTTTATTTAGTGTTCATAGTTTCCAGGAGGAGAATTCTGTAGTCCTGACTAAAGAATATTCTATAGTCCAGACTAAAGACTGTTCTATAGTCCAGACTTTGGACTATTCTATAGTCCAGATTAAGGACTATTCTATAGTCCAGACTAAGGACTGTTCTATAGTCCATACTATGGACTGTTCTATAGTCCAGACTATAGACTGTTCTATAGTCCAGACTATAGACTGTTCTATAGTCCAGACTATAGACTGTTCTATAGTCCAGACTATAGACTGTTCTATAGTCCAGACTTTGGACTGTTCTATAGTCCAGACTATAGACTGTTCTATAGTCCAGACTATAGACTGTTCTATAGTCCAGAGTATGGACTGTTCTATAGTCCAGACTATAGACTGTTCTATAGTCCAGACTATAGACTGTTCTATAGTCCAGACTATAGACTGTTCTCTAGTCTAGATAATGTATAGCTTAGTGCTAGTGGATATTGTTATCGAAATATCGTTTTACTAAAGCTTCTTTAGACCACAATATAAAATAGGTTCATTCCAATACCATTTCCACTCTCTTTCGGTATGGAAATCGTTGAAGAATATTTATTACAATCACAAATATAATATTTTTATAGATTGAATGAGAAAATACGTAAATGTAAAAATAAATAACTACTAATAAATTCAAAATAAAATTTGAAAAAAACTGAGAATAAAAATTGAGGTCTATTTCCCTCTCTCTTTCAAGTCAACTTAAAAAGCTTATAGAAAGACATTGGGTTAATTACAGTTAACAAAAAATTGGTTTAAATAATAACAGTTATTAAGGCTAGAAAGAAAATAATTGAAATTAAGAAAAATAAAATAAAAAACATTAAATATAACAAGTATTGTATTCTGAAAATTTACAGGAACTTAAAAAGAATAAAACCCAAAAATTAAAATATATTAGAGCAAATATTTAAAAAAAAAAGCTTAAAATGAGCTGTTAATGATATTTTAACAAATTGTTGAATCGATTTTTTTGTGCAATAAGTGTGTGTGTATTTCAAATTGACAGCTCCAAAGGAGAAAAAATAATGTATTATACAGATGATTACTTTTTATAGTGTTTGAATAATTAAATATACAACAACCAAAAAATAAATTAATTGTTATAATAACAATAAGATAAAACATTAAAAGCTTTTTGTCTAAAAATAAACGTGAAAGCACTAAGACTACGTGTTTGTTTTTCTTTTTCATCTTAATTATTTACATAAATTAATAAATATAAATATGACAAAAAGCCAAAATGAATTATAAATGTAATTAAAAATAATTAAAGAAAATCACAAGTTTATTGATAAAAATGAAATAAATTGCTTTAATGGAAATAATACAAAAACAAAACTAGTCGTTGATTTAACAAAACTTTGCAATTTATTAAATGAAAACAATTTTAGCATAAAAGTAAAATTATTAAATAAAAAAAAAAAAAAAAATAGATTTTTCACCCAAAAACAAAAAAATTATATTAAAACATATTTAATTAAGGAAGTATACCTCAGTAAGAGACGATGATAATAATAATGCATTTATTATAAATAATAATAATAAAATAAAAACAATTAAAAATGTTAACATAAAAACAAAAAATTAATTTAAAAAATATCTTTGTCAACTAACAAGTGACTGATAATGAAAAAGTGTTACTCAAATTTTACGTTTTTTTAATATTAGAGAAAATTCAAATCTTTTGAAAAAAAAACTGTTACAACAACACACTTACCACTTTAATACAATTTAACTGAAATGAATTCCTTTTCTTTTTTCCGGTTATAACACCTTTGGACTCGATTTTATAGTTATCTTCTATAATCCAGATTAAAGACTATTCCACATGAGCAGATAATAGATAGTTTTATAGTCCAGACCATAGACTGTTTTATAGTACAGACTATAGACTGTTTTATAGTACAGACATAGACTGTTTTATAGTATAGACTATAGACCGTTTTATAGTCCAAACTATAGACTGTTTTATGGTATAAACTATAGACTATAGTCCAAACTGTAGACAGCTTTATAGTTCAGACTATAGACTGTTCTATAGTTCACACTATAGAATGTTCTATAGTTCACACTATAGACCGTTCTATAGTTCAGACTATATAGACTGTTCTACAGTTCACACTATAGAATGTTCCATAGCTCATACTATATAGTCCAGACTATAGACTCTTCTATAGTCCAGACTATAGTATATAGTCTATATAGATAGACCAGACTATATACTGTTTTATAGTTCATACTATAGACCGTTTTAAAGTCCAAACAATAGAATGTTTTATTGTCTAAACTATAGACAGTTTTATAGTCAGACAGTTTATAGTTTAGACTATAGACTGCTCTATGGTCCACACTATAGAATGTTCTATAGTTTACACTGTAGACTGTTCTATAGTTCAGACTATAGACTGTTCTATAGTTCACTCTATAGACAGTTCTACCGTTCACACTATAGAATGTTCTATAGTCCAGATTATAGACTGTTCTATAGTCCAAATTATAGACTGTTCTATAGTCCATATTATAGACTGTTCTATAGTCCAGACTATATACTGTTTTATAGACCGTTTTATAGTCCAAACTATAGACTGTTTTATGTTCTAAACTATAGACTGTTCAATAGTCTAGCCCAAACTATAGACGGTTTTAGAGTCTAGACTGTACAGTGCTCTACAGTTCAAGCTTTAGATTGTTCTATATACAAGACTATTCAGTTTTATTACAAAGAAAATTTTTCACAAATACCGAAAAAATTTCAAAAAATTTTCACCTTTTTTTGAGTAGCACAATTGCCATTTTTTTAAATTTATATTTGTTTTTAACAGCACTTACATAACATCACATCATTAAAAAAATTAACGTTGAAAGCAATTCTTTTCAATTAATACATTACAAAAAAAAATATACAATAAAACACCATTATATATAAATAAAAAGAAATTAATTAAAAAACACATTTAATAAACACTTTATATTTGATAGATTAAAGGAAGAAAAATTAAGGAATTTATTTGAAAGAAAAACAACAGTATTCAATTTAAACATAATGCTCACTTTTTCTATTAAAACCCTCAAAATGAAAGAATCAAACAAAAAGTTAGTTAAAAAACGACTTGTTTTAATTCATTAAATATTAAATGCAAATGATTTAAAGCAAAAAAACTGTAAAGATGAAAAGGAAAGAAAAAAAAACTAGTGCCACCTTAGAAAATAATTCCAAGACAAGAGAATAAAGTTAAGTTTAACTTTTTTATTATTAAAAAAATTAATTATACAAAAAATGTTCATATAATATATTTATTTATAGTATTATATTTTTCAAAAACAAATGATAATCATCACCACTTAATAAACATATTTAATATGTATGTAGTTCTTTTTTATTTATTTTAGTTTTAATATTTATTTTCAAAAAAAAGAAGAAAAACAAAAAAAGTAAGAAAAAAAAACACAACATTCAAAACTAAAACGCAAACATTTTGAGACAGACATTTGTTTCTTTCTTTATATATATATTGAACCCATTTTAATAAACAATTTATAACCACAATGGATTGATTGATTAATTATAGCATGAAAAAAAAACGAACAAAATAAAAACAAAACACACTTAAAAATTATTATTATTAATATTAAATTAAAAAAAGAAATGAAACAAAAAAAGAAGAAAATTAAGTAAAAATAAACACAATTCTTATAGATTCTGGTTTGTTTTATTGGACAATTTTTTTGGGCTAAAACAAAAGCAATAACTAATAAACAATTCAAAAATGTTCTTTGTTTTATAATTAATAATTACCATTTGAATTTAAATTTTAAATTGTATATATAAAATAAAATCAATAATGTGTTATTTAATAATTTGTTTTTTTTTTTTCTAGTTCTGCTAAAAGCCAAAAGAAAAAAATAAAACAACAATAGTAAACATATTAATTTAAGGAATAAAAAGCAGCGATCGTCTTAAAATAATGAAAAACAACTTTAAAAGGACGGGGTAACTAAGCTAGAAAGGAGAAGGAGCGGGGGGAAGTAGTTAAGTGAAATAGGGTGAGTTCTTTATTACATGATTTTAAATAGTTTGCTGGCAAAATTTTTCTCTTATTTTTCACTGTTTGTTTTTATTATTT